ACATATATATATATATATATATATATATATATAGTCACACGTACGCCTGTTCTATGTTTTACTTCTTGAAAATACGGGCTTATGCTGATTCGTAATTCTTACTCTAGCTTCCTGATGCAATTTCTTACACACACTTTAACGTTTCATTGATGTTTTTCTCTCTGTTATCCAGGAATTCATCGAAGAGACTGAAGACCACTGTAAATTCGAAATGGCTGTGCCCGCCATCGTTCGCCCCTGTGGTGAACGTTCAATGGAAAAAATCTCCGGCGATGCGAAGTATGATTCTGAGGTGAGACTAGATTATCAGGAAATAGAACAATAATTCTGTTTCACTAATGTCTATAATAAGCTGTTAATTTGTACAGATTGATGCGAGTTGTAAAATGAGCATGATTAGGTCAAAGACGAGTATATTTTAATTTGAACTGACTTTCCTTCGGACTTAACCTTCACACACTAAACTCAGTTCTTCCAGTCAACCATACACTCTGAAGCACTAGACTCGAGTTTCACTTATTGGAGCTCATCAGTAGTGCATATCCACCGTCCCGTCCGAGCTTTTGACTCCGGACCCATCGTATTGAACGCACGTGTTACCACTGTGACAACCAGCTCATACCAAGGCTGAACCGAATTGCCAGTTTGTGTTTGTTCACGTGTCGTCTTCAGTGATAATCAATCAGTTCATTGTTGGCCCGACAGCAATGAAGTAACTGTGAGGTGAATGCTAATTATCAACCCGGCCTAGTAGGTTTGTGGCAAAGCAGCCCGTAGCCTACATGGAAGATCTGATTTTGTGGGAGGCTTTCGATTGAAGTTAACAGATTGTCAACTGTGCCTCCCTTTGTTGCTGTCGGATCAACAATGAACTGACTATCACTTTGGACGACATCTGAACAAGCATGAATTGGCAATTCGGTTCAGCCGTGATATGAGCTCGTTGACACCGTGGTAACACACGCCTTCCATGCGATTTGTCCGGAGTTCAAATTCCGGACGGTGGATTTGCATTACTGATGAGCTCTAGTAAGAGCAAAACTCAAGTCTAATGCTCACGAGTGTTTGGTTGACTGGAATAGCTGAGGCTTGTGTGTGAAGGTGAAGTCCGAATGATAGTTCTTTCAACCCAGTTCCAGTTATCCCACACCACTAATCAACAGCAACTATAAGTTGAATGCAAGCATATTTATTTCGAAAATTTTGAACATTCTGTGGTCTTTTGCATATGATATACACCCCAGACACCCTGACTGTAGTACTTAGTTTTGTTCAGTTAATCTGTGGTCATACGGCCTCACTCGCTGGATCGAGCGACCGTTCTCGTAGCAACAGTTTGATGACTGTCGTAGACCAATATTTTAGGATATCGTCCTAGTATCAATGTCACTAAGATAAGCCCAACGTGTGTTTGAATGTCTATCAGATATAAACCTGCTAGCACATCGAATTCAGATTACTAGGCCTCGCTGGCTAGGGCACGTATTACGTATGCCCAGCTACCTTCTACCACATTGCGCCTTATTCGCCCTAGCCGCTCCGGGCAACAGGAAACCACGTAAACGTTAACAGATTATGTGGAGATGAGACATGAAGAAATGTACAGAGCCATTAGGCAAAGTAGGTGTCACGCACCTTCCAGGTTGGGGCACGAAAGACTCCGCAACTGGTTGGTTGGGAACATCGAAGGATATGTCAGCGGACCGACAACAGTGGCGTTCTTGCTGTCATTTCTTATCAGGCCAGATTGCTTGAAACGGTATGTATGCAGAGTTCTATTGTGCACTCTGTGTTGACCACAGAAGTTCACCTTCTTCCCCCTCCCTCAAAGTAGGTCCAATCACTGTTCACCTTGAATTTTACCGCGAACCTTCTATGCATTGCGAGTTTGGCAGCGATCAGTGACGTTCGCTTCGCTGTATTTCGCTGTACGACGAGACTGATGATCACTGATTTATATCCTTTTCCTAATTTTCATAACTGGGGTCCATATACATCGATTTCTGCCATTGCGCTGTAATCCGGCTTGTACGAAATACCGTAGCTATCTGGAAACTCATGAGATCACTGTCTGTTTTCGACCAGTTATCTATCTCGATTATTCGCAACTATTTCTTCGCTTATCAAATCGATTCTTCTAGTATCTGCCAAAAATCTTACAGCCCCATTCAGCTCTTAGGTTCCAATACCCCAAGGTGTTCTATTGCAGGGATCCAAAGTACTTTTATTTTCACAATTATGTTTGAGTAATGGTGTAGGGCGAGCGCTTTTCAGTGGTAGTGGCCAGATTTCAGACTCACAAATCTCCGGTTGTCTAATTAGCCATACACTCGGAAAGAGCTAGACCAGGGGTTCGTTCTCTTCAGTGAAGCTCGTCAATAATGCCTGTACGGTCTCGTTTGTGTTTTGAATTCCAAATCCGTCGCAATTCTGTGGCGTTATCGGAGGTGGTCACAAGTGACAAGAGTACACCAGTGTTGCATGAAATAACCTGATCTCCTTTTTCGTTACGCTCTGAAATAGCAGACGGGTTTGTTTTGTCCTGTTAACTTGGTTTGTGTTAGTGAGCGATGATACTCGCTGCTCTGAAACCTAGCTGACATAGCCGTGATACTTTATTGTGCGATAGCAGACTTGCTTACCGTCATGGTTCGAGCGCACTTCTTCGTAACCACGATGGACGCATTTTTAATAAGAATGAATTTATTAAATAAAGCGCTTTATATGTTGTTATATTTCGAGCTAAAACTACCCGCAGCTTATTGAAGCTGTTCCCGGACTAGTTTGTCTTTTATTGCGCCAGAATTAATTTCCAAGAAATTTCTTCCATGGATCATTCAGTTTGATTGTAATTTGCAGGTCCTTGCTGCCATTTAGTCGGGATTCTTTCAAGGTAGAATTTTCTTTATTAAAATAGTTGTACTTGGCTTTTATTGGGTTGGATACAGAAGATAGGTTGTGTTGTGCCGTAGCTTGCGGGAAAAATAGGCTGTTTCATGAAAGTAAATGTCCAGCATTACCAGTTCTTTGACTGGAGATAATATACGCTCATCGAGGTTGCAATAACGTTTTGTTATGCTCCTTTAGTTATTCTGGCCTCAATTTGTTCACCCAAAATGCTGGTACTGAATTCTTAGTTTGTTTTCCATACTTTTCCTGACCACTCCGGAGTTCCTGTCCGTTACTAATCTTGTATGACTTGTATTTTGCCCAGAAAAAAAAGACCGCAGCCAATCATGACCAAAGTGTATCTGCTCGCGCGTAAACACGTGTGGTCTTTGTTATTTCCCTAATTCTACTTATGCAAATTATTGCCATCAGCCTGGGTTGTCGACGCAGCGCTCCGAAGGTTGCGGCTATACTCGTGGCAGACTTGTGAATACGACCTTTCTGATCGGATTTACGTTGGAGGATTCCATGAGCGATATTCATCTCCCAGCTTCGCATCTTCTGCCTGCTTACCGTCTACTGGCCGATTGTCATGATGTTGGAATGTTATTCGAACACGTTATCGCACCGCCTTTCTGCGTCTCTCTACATCACGCTCCGTCTTTACAAGGTCGTTGATTTCCGATCGCTCTTGCTTATTACTGAATCCGGTCAGTGTGTTCGAATCAGCGGGCTATCAGTTGCCGTTATTAAAATCGGGTTGAACCAATGTAGTAATTCGTCACTCACTCACAGAGAGAACAAAAAAAACTGGATGATGGAAGCTCCGGCAACTGCTCAAACTCCCGAATCCCCTTAATCCACATTGCGTTCAAACTTTGATTTCGATACTTATCCGTCAAAAGAGATTATGGATCCGCGCTTTCATCAATATATTACTTAACTTCTTCCATCCTACTCAAACTTATTAATTATCAGATAAAACAACGAAGTGGCGAACAAGCTCGTTTTCAGTGATTCGTATTCAAGCCAGTAAATCACAGTATATATCACTAGTTGAGAATAAAATTATTTTGGGAAAGTAGAATGAAATCACATCACACCACAGAGTACTAGAAACTATTTTGTCATGAGACCGGAAATCCGACTCACCACGATCACATTGTCCACTTGTCCGTTTATCGAGGTTGCTCGTGATACGATGTGTGTGGTGTGGGCCAGAGAAGCTTTAGCGCTTTCACAAATCATTTTGGGGACAGAGAGAGAGATTCTGCAGACGAATGCCCACCACTTCGGCTGTGGCCAGCATCCGAAAGCGAACGTACCTCGATAATCGCCCAAGAACTCTATACATAGGACAGAAAGCCTCAGCCACGTTCAGTGATTTATTGCACCTAAGTGTGAAATAGTTAGTTCACCATTTACCGTTCATGCTTGTGTATTGATTAATAAACATACACATACACATTTTCATTAATCCCATTCAGAACCTACCATATGAAGTTGGAATCCTTCGTCAGTTCCCCTTCACTTCTAGTCTGCAACGAATGTCAGTGATTGCGCGGGTTTTAGACAGTTCCCATTTCAGCGTGTACACCAAAGGTGCTCCAGAGACAATCGAATCCCTGTGTCGACGTGACACAAGTGAGTTTGCTTATCATCACATAATCATTCTGTTCTTGAGATGCAAAATGTAATCTACTTCTCTGTGTAATGTCTTTGGTGCAGCCTGCGTGGCACTGTAAGAGGGAGAGTTATGATTTTTGGATTAGATACACCAGCAAACCGATATTTTGTCTCATATTTTCGTTGTATTGTGGCTCGTGCCTATTGAACACTTCCTTGACTTCCTTGTTCTTTCTCTCACCCCCAATCAAAACAGTTCCGTCAGATTTTCATTCTCTTCTATTGGATTACACACGGGAGGGGTATCGAGTTCTGGCTTTGGCTTGGCGCCCACTTAAAATCTCCTACACTCGTGTGCTCAAAATTCAACGGGAACGAGTTGAACAGGATTTGCTGTTTCTCGGTCTGTTGGTAATGGAGAATCGGCTGAAACCCGAGAGTGCTGAAGTCATACAAGTGCTCCGGAATGCTAACATACGTCCGGTCATGGTTACTGGTAGGTGTCTTTTGTTGGAGTTACGTCGATGATTTCCTTCAGTCAGTCTTTTTTGGTTGTTATCGATAAAAGTATTTGAATTTTCTGAATTCCTTCTTTCCTACGGTCCTTTTCTATTGTGAGATGTCTCTCTTGGCCAGTTTTTTTCATTAAACTGGTTATTTTCAACTCTTGGTTAACCTTTTCAAATATTTTGGTGTATTATTTTACAAACTTACAGTACCTTATACTAATAGTCTTATCCCAATGACTCAACAATAATGAGAAGTGAATCCATTACCGTTGAAGGTCTAACTATCTCAAAATGTAGTATTGCTGTGACCAACACCCTCTCTTATCACTTACTCCAATTAATAACATTGCTGGTCATTCTGCAGCACTTTTTCTTTTTTTCCAACTAAGATCTCCGGCGTATTCCTTGTCTGTCAATGTGATTTTATCAACCCGAGAAAAATGGGGTGAAGTCAATCGGAACACTTCTCGCTGTTTCAGTAGTCGAAAATATCTGGGATTTATAGCACCCAACGTGGTCGATCAGTTTTACGATTTTCGCCTCAAAAGTACATCAATGTAGTTGCCATGGTTGAACGATTACACTCTTGTGAAGTTGAACAGCGGTCAGGGCTGATTCCTTCGTTGTTCTTCGGCATTAAGTTCATTGTTTAGAAGTCTCAGCTATTCACAATGAATCTACCTTACATAGGCGATAAATTTGTCGAAATCATCATGTGGTCATTAGACAGTTGATCACAGATGAAATTATGCAACTGACCTGCATGATTGAGGTGAACACATGTCCAGGGTACTCAGGACTGGTCGGTTTTCAACGCTATAAAAGTACAAAAAATAGCGCACTAAATGGATTCACAAGCGTGTGACTCCAATAAAGAAAGGGGGTATGACCCAAATTAATCAGGTAATTTTATCACCATTCTGAGGTGAATGAGCACTTTCACGAACTCATGTAAATCTAATTGAGGACAACGTAACCGTTCTCATACGGACCACCGAAATTGTTATGGTTCCGGAGTTTGGTTTCATATACCATTAAATTTTCTCTCTCCATCTCTCTGCATTCTCGATGTGTTTTATTGTACCTATTGATCACGTTATGGTACATCGTGCGCTGCGAGTATTTTTCGTTAGGTGGAAACAGGAATCTCAGCTTGCAAAATCTGTTTTCGAAAAGCTATTTGGCAAACCAATAGACGATAAGAAACAGTTCTCGTAATTCTGTAGATCGGCCTCCAAGTACTTTTCCATTTAACTGCCAAGTTCTTTTTTCCTTTCATTTATAACAGTGCTGGTCATTGACCAGACGCCTGTCGTTTTGAAATTAGGGATGCAGATAATTGGTTGTTCTTTGTTGTTTACCGTATCACTGCTATAGCAACCAGATCACGTTGTCATTGTTTTCTTGGCATTATAAGAAGCTGAGATATAATCTGCTGTTGTATCCCTGTCTGTTACCACCTACTCGACTTCTGAATCATCTATCTTCAGGTTCGCACCTCCCAATGTACCATATGTATTGCGTAAAACAGCTAAAACTCCCACTCCCAAAAAGAAAAAAAAAACAGACATGCAATGTTCTACCTCTTTGTTGACCTAAGCCACTCACCTTCGCTATCGCAGAGTTATGTATCCACCTTCATGTGTCACGGATTTCTCTCTTTTTTTAATCTTACTGTTTATAGTCTACTTCCTAAGTCATACTTTTTCATCACTTTTGGTTTCGCTCAATTTCGGCAACCCAATAATGACCTGTTCTAAAAAACCCCATAGACTGTAGCTGATTACGCTGTTGTACTAGCTGTTGTCATTCTGTTACTTCCATCGCCGTTCTGCTGCATTGTGCTGCTAAGCGAAGATGCAGGTAAGTTGCACGCTCTTCTGATTAGTTTGAGCGCCAGTGTAACCATGTTCGGTATGCGTTTTGCACCTTCAAAGTGTAAAATGTTACTACAACACTGCGTTGGTCCAGTACCCAACCTCACTCTAACCGACAAATCAATAGAGCAAGTGGATAAGTTTTGTTATTTGGGTAGCTACATCTCATCCGATGGACGCATCACGGATAAAATGTCAGCTCGCATACAGAATGCTCGGTTGATAATTGCTAACCTGACATCTGTGTCGCCGTCCCGACACACTGAGCTGAAATGAACTACAACCATTGAGCATGCACTGTCGTGCGCCGGTTTTTGGTTCATGCCTTTTGGCTCCCATTTGTATGAACATTAGGAGAAAGACAGGAAAGGGTGAAAGTGCGATCAAACAGAAAATTTAGAATTTGTGGACTAATGTTGCAGAGAAATTGACAAGATGCGCGAACGCCACTGTTTACGACGCCCAGCCATATCACTCAGTGTCTCTGACCATCGGTGACCATCATCCCGCGGTCCCAAGCCAGGGAGCCTAACGGGACCTATGTGACCCGGTCTCCTGGTAAGGGTTTTCATACCCTCATTCCAGGTTTTAGCTTGACCACCCTTGACTTTATTCCACCCACTATTTGCCTCGGAAAACAACGTTTGCCGAGGCAACTTATCTGGTGGCATGCTTAACACATGCCCCACCGAACGTACCCTATGGCGGTCGACCATTGGCTCCAGTGGGCGACCCCATCATGACGAGACTGCACCTAGACGTGGTGGCTTGTGCACCTCTCTGACCCAACGAGCTACCCTGGATGGCTTTTATCAAACCGCAGATCTAATCATGCCTGGAAGGTCGAAGAGTAGAGGTCAGAAGTTCAGCCTCCTGGTCCTCCAGGTTAGGGGTTTGACCCCAGTTAGCGTCTCGGTCGGTAAAACGGTAGAGGAGTAATTGACCCAAGTAAACGGGCCCATACATAACTTCACCTGCTGCCTTGCCGGGAGATCTTATCATACCAGGAAGGTCAGACCAAATTCAGTCTCCAGGTTTGAGGCTCAAATAAAGTTATCGTCTTCCGCTACGTGGTAGAGGAGTAATCAATCCAAGTAACTGGACCTCTATTTCGTTTAACCTGCTGCCATGTGGTCAGGTTCTTGTCGGAACTAAAGGCATTGAACGAGAACCC